ATATAGGTGGATCAGCCCGAAAGAACGTAAGATTAAATTGAGACGTCTTCTCAACTAAATCTCACGTGATATTTCAAAAGGGCTTAATTTCACGTCCATGTACTCAACAATTTCTACAGCTATCAGAGGGTGCCCGTACAGTAAGAGTTCGTAAGAATAAAGGACTAGTGCAACTTTTCGCTCTATCAACTAGAACAAGACAGAACGTGCAAATAGACGAACATCGCCAAGCCACATTAATCGATTTGGTTGCAGAACTAGTACGGGACTTCAAACTAGCTTTGGAAAGGAAGGTGACTTCGCCGCCTTGCTGGAACAGTAGACGTATACTTTCAGCCAGTACGACTTTGCCCTTCAGAAGCTCTACAACACTCAAGAAAAAGGCAGCACGAACTTGTGACCATCAACGCGAGCAAGTGTAAGCCAACAGACAGTGCGAAAGAAAAATAGGCATAGAAGGGGAAGCGAAGCATTATGCTCCGTTTCAAATTAACTTTGGTACAGCTAGTGGTAAAGAAAAGAGTAGTGGGGATAGCCTAAATTACCAATCCAGAAGAAACTCTCTACCTAGATGTACATTCAAAATAAAAAAACGTGGAAATTCGAGACGAGGAGGAAGATCTGCGATGCCATAAGGTATGGAGTGACTAGAGTGGGGGACGATGGGTCCTCCACCTCGGCCGAATCAATGGCGATGGATATAGATAGCCGAGATAACACCGGAAATGGAAAGAACGGGCTGGACAGACTCAGAAATCAGGGAGTGATCAGGATGTGCGACGAATCGGAGCAATACCTGACACACAACACACTCATGATTCTGAAGTCGGATGGACTTCGAGCGCGACTCATACTCGATCCGTTAGCAATCAACAAGAGGGCTCGAATTTAGAAATTCTGGATGGAGGGCTTAGACAAATTGGCACGGAGGATAGACCATATGCTGTTAGCCGACTACAAGAACGAAGATTTCGCCTTGGGCGTGGCAGAACCACATTTATGGCAATTTAGAGACAGTACCGGGCAGCTTTGATGCTTTTTAGCGCTTTCTATGGGCGTATCGATCTCTCCATAGTATTTTCACCAGCTCATGAACTCAGTGAGAAGAATGTGCCGCAAGATGGGAATTCGAATTATTCTATATGTAGACGACCTGCTGCTGTTGGCATGTCTTCACAAAATAGAAAGAATAGACAGTACATCAATGAACTCAATCAAAATTTGAGTTCAGAACTGGCCCTCGGCAAGGGAGTTTGGGACAATCCAGTACGATTATTGGCGCACCTAGGGCTTCTAATCGACATGAACGGAAACCGGATTCGGATGACGGCTTCATTTTCAGCCAAAGCAGCATAACGTCTTTCTAAAGCTTTGGCGATCATATCTAAGACTAGGGCAGTGTGGATCGTTTGCAGTATCCAATATCAAATCATACCTACCAAATTACAGCACAATAGTGTGAAAGTCAAAAATCTGAAGGTAACCCTGTCGGGGGCAACATAAACATGGGAGCTCAGAACACACTTCTCAACAATATGGACAGCAATTAGATATGATTTGGGGAACCGGTTCAGGAATTGACAGCAGACGCATCGAAGAAAGTTATTTATGGTGGCTACACTATTCATCGACAGCCGGGAAGAGAGTTTTACTTTCGCAGGGAAGTGGGACCGATGAGAAGCGAGATGGCTCATATCAGTGACTTTGCACGCTCGTGTTAGCGATAGATTATTTCAATTTATCGGGCCTAATCTCTTAGTACAGTTTGCTGCTTCTGATGCCGCATTCATCGACAGCAATACACAGCTTACGAAAGACGCGCAGCGCTTCGAGTCTTTTGACCTCGCAGGACGACTGGCGAAATTTTGCCTGAGGTCTGTCGCTTTGGCATACCTTCCTGGCAAACTCAATCTGACAGTGGACGAGCTAAGCCCACGAGGAAATTACTCTGCTTAACTTGGACATATCGCTCAGGAGATATTATCCATTTGTATCAGGAATGGATGATAACATTACCTGTCAAATATCTGTTCTCAGTAACATATTACCAGCATATGGAGCACTGAGAGAGTTACATGCCTTCTACATCCGTTGTGATCAGGAGATACACTTGCTTACTTTGCCAGAAGTGCAGGTTGGTCAAGTCCTACGAAAGCTAGGCAGCCAACAAACGCCAGCAGTAATAGTTGTGCCTCTATGGGCTTCCGCAATTTGGTGGGAGAATTTAATTTACCACACCAAACGATTAGCAACACTGCGAAGAAGTGGTACGAGGAACGTGACTGGGCTCGAATCACCAGAGGATATTCAGTGGAATAGCGGGAGGAGAAAAATCCAGTGATCAATCAGCCTAAGGTGCTTTCAGAATGGGCTTTACAAGCGTATCGGTGTACGCTGATTGATGCACATCACTAAGGCGATATAACTGTGGTTTATTCTGTTCGGTTATCAATAGGACACTCTCGTGGCGGTGCAGTCTGCACAGGTAAAATTTGATGCGAGGTTCAATCTTATCAGCTTCAATATCGTCGAGCGCAAGAGAGGACTTACATCTGAAGGCAAAACTAATTCACCATTAATAATTGTAGAAACTGACATATTCCAGTTCTGCTGAGATATCTGTCATAATCATCTTGCAACTGTCATCCCATAATCCGCGACTCTGCTGCTATTAGGTATGTACGGCAAGACTTTCAGATGGCTGAGGTATCACCACAACTACTTGCAAATGTGCAGGGACATGTTTTCTGAAGAGATTTTGCGCAGGCTTGCTTCAGTCTCGGGGTACCGGATGCAAATATCGCCAACATAATGTATATTGAAATCGGCTCTGTAGCAAGTTATCACTCGGTGATCGCAGCAACTTAAGCAGATATATACTCAAAGGGCCCACTTAAGAGAAGAACGTGAAGAGCGTCGACGATTACAAAAAAGGTATTGGACGACACACCAGCTCACGGCAGACTCGGTGCAATGAACTTAAGACGCCCGAAAAAAGCCCGTACTGACACGGTCTAGTAATGGAGGGATCCGCACTAGATTTATGATGCCTCAAAAGCTTCTATCATGACATACGTCCGACGCAAAGTGTTGAAGACGAATTCGGTTAACGGGAGTAATTAGCAAGTTATGACGGGTGCTGCTTGCTAATTAGTTATTAAATTTTATTTTAAGAGATTTAGGAAGCACCCTCAAATAGTTTGTATCTGCTTCCCAATCACCGAACATGCCGTAGAATACCATCCCTTAGCAGAAACGGTATATAGGACAAGAGATCATGGATATGATCTCTCATCTTAGTTCCTTCTCTTCCAATCCCATCCGCCCTAACAAGTTTTTATCATATTTCCTTCTAATAGGGAAGCTGGGGCATGGATTTCGTTATTTAAGAACCTTTCTTATATATGAGGTTAATATACCTCTAGCGGGTTCTTAACACCGCATACTAACGCATAGGAGTTTCCGAACACTCCGGGCTACTAAATGCCCACGCAATCTAACGCCACACACACGACCGGCTTCACCGCCATGAACAGCTCACGCTACAGTATGATCTAGTTGCAACACTCAGGTGGTAATTGATTAAGACTAACGCATAGGAGTTTCCGAACACTCCGGGCTACTAAATGCCCACGCAATCTAACGCCACACACACGACCGGCTTCACCGCCATGAACAGCTCACGCTACAGTATGATCTAGTTGCAACACTCAGGTGGTAATTGATTAAGAATACGCTATTGTTGGATGATTATTTCATCCTTGAAGGGGTACGATCAAGTATCTTTGTACCACAGATTGAATGATCCAATAAATAAACAAACAACACATAAATATATACTACCTATTTGTTTTGCATTTTTTTTTTGACTGTGCATAAAGTAAGGGGATGTCATGACTCTTTTCGTTTCAAAAAAAAAAAAAGGTAATGACACCCGCTCACTGTAAGCGTAGTTGTAAACTTGTTATATGACTTACTAGTATATAAATTCCTTACTGTATGTGGCGTGTGATGCTCAGTATTCTTCTATCATCCTGCTTGCTGATTGGGTTGCGATTGTGCCAGGATTTACTTTGTTACCTGATGATGTGGGTTTGTTGCTTGGTCTCGTCGCTCTTCTACTCAGTAGTGTCAACATGCTGGTGTGCTCGTGTGTCATCCTCGCCAGCGCTGAGAATGCCGTGGTTCCCCTTCCTGATGAAATATTTTTGTCGGCCCGTCATCCCTTTTGGTGTTGACTGTACGTTGTATTTTCGTGTTGTGTCGGACTGATGGTACATTCCTGAAGTATATCGTGGATTCACGATTAGAATGCCGCCTCGCTCTGTTGGTGCATGGTGTGTTCCTTCGATTGCAGTTCGGTTTTCCGCGTTATCTGGTTCAACAAATTCGATGAAATTCAGTAAAAAAAAATGCAGCTTGGTTCGGTTGAGAGTATCGGACATAATAAGTTGTTGGACTGTCACCAGTAGATCTATAAAGTGTTGATTCTGATGGTGATTTGCACAGAGTGTTTATGGCATGGGTAGTTCATGGCCAAGGAAAAGCCTCTCCGGGAGGAAAGCTCCATCTACATATAATGATAATCCGGACTCGTATATACGAGTCCCATTGATGAAGCTTACATGGTCCATGTATTAAGAGTCTTAGGAACATATTTTCCAGTCTCGTCTACAAAACATTCTATTGAAGAAACAGACTGATATGAAAGTCGTGTGCTTATACTAAAGCAGGAATGCACATGGGTATCGGTTTGTGAAAAACAATTGAGAATGGTTCTATGAGCAAAGCATATTCTAGCACTTTAGTTGTAAAGATCCGTGTCGAAGAAATCACAATTCTACGATTGAGAGTTCAGAAAAGAAAAGAAAATACTATTTGTGCTTAAAATTAGGGCAAAACAGCAAAAAAAACAAAACATTGAAACGACCATGCGTGCGCTCTTATGCACGAATGCGGCGTGATTTTTAGACATTCTGCAACAGGAGCCTTCATACAGCTATACGCCGAGGAGTGTTCACGTTTGTTTCGAGTGTGGCTCATAACCCTGATTGACCTTTTAAATTGGGAATTTATTTATATATATACAGGAGCAGCGGAAATTGTATGATTATTTCCCGTCAACTATTTTTTTCATCAGGAGAATACACAACTATTTCCCATCATCTAGTTTCTGTCATGGCTCGATAATCCATGTACAGACCACACCTGCTTTTAGGGTAATACTTCAGTACAATACTACCTGGGTCTTTTCAGAAACTTACTTCTACTGGTGATTAAAATACTAGATTCCTAATAATCAATTCATACTCATTGCCAAAAGTTATGAAGCCCAGAGATTTTGCTACTTTGGCAGGTCTCTGAAAGAAAAATAATGCACATACTTTACACGATCTTAGAGCACGTGAAACTATCAGTTCATAGCTCGGTGAAATCGCGAGTTAAGTCAACAGTACGCTATTGGAAAGTGATGCTTTAAAATTTTTATTTTGCAAATATACAGAAGCATCATCAATCAATTTTGAACTTAAATTGTACACATTTAATTGGAGAAATATATTATTAAATTTTCTATTTTAAAT